GACTTTCTCCCTCTTTAGCCCAGAGGGATTAATTGATGCTCAAAGGGAACGGAACTGCTGTTTTGTGAGTGGAATCTGTTGTCTCATTAATTATTCATCCGTAGGTGATTGGCAGCTTCGAGGCGGTGGGTCACAGTCAGTAAAGGGTGAGCTGCTGACTGACAAGGTTAATTGCTGCCTGGCGTTAGTGCTGATAACGATTTATGTTGACAATTCCTGGTATTCCTGGCGCAGCCGGAGGTTTGTCACGCAGGGTCAGTCCCGTCCTGCCCCTGCTGTCCTGGGCAGCTGGGAGCAGCCGTTCCCTTGGCACGTGGGAAGGGACTTTGTTCCCAGAGCAGGTCTCTTGATAAGTGATGCACAAGAAGCCTTGCAAAGGCATCCGTTGCTTTTCCCTTTTTCCCTTCTTCTTTTTGCCGTGTTCCCTGCATATTGATCAGGGTTCAGAGCACAGAAGTGAGGCTGGGCTGGGCTCTGCTGGTCCCCCCTCGGCGGGAGCCTCAAAGCTGTGCTTGTCCGGGGGCTCAAGTGAATAGAGATGAGAAAGATTTTTGAGGGTGACCCTTGAAAATAATGAAGATGGGAAGGAATTGTCTTCCTGTGTGCAGGGTGGGCTGTGCCTCCGAAGCCCAGAGCTGCCTCCGGGCTGTGCCTCTGCCCTGGGTTTGTTCTCCAGGCTGGAAGGGCACAGCTCACGGTGCTCACACTCCCAGCCCGAAACCACAGGTGTTCCCTCCGTTCCTCGTGGAAAAAAGCAGAGTCATAAAGATTTCAGACTAATAAACGTTGGCCTTTAGGGTGCCCTCAGCTTTTATCGGGCTAATAAGATTTTTGACTTACATGGCAGGAAGAGGTAAACAGAGCTTTTATGGACCCCGCGTCCTGTCGGGGCTCTCGGGCTCCGGCACCGCTCGATGAAAAGCTCAGGCAAAGCAAGGGGGGAGGGAGTTCCTGGGGATGGCTCTTTATGGAATATCTGGGCTTAATTACCTGTCTGATTATCAAACTGTTGTAGGTGTGTGAGGGCAGGGAGAGCTGTGCCATCCGAGCTTCGTCCTCTCTTCCCTCCCTCACCGGGGGTTGTGCCTCAGCCTGTTGTCACCACTTCCAACTGTGCCCCAACCCCCTCGGGGAGCAGCACCAGCAGCAATTCCCAGGTGTTTGGGTTCAGTTGAGAATTGCTTTTATCATCACTGGCTTTTATGGCTGATAAAATTGGGGGTGTCATTACACACTGAGTTTAGGCATAAAATTTGAACAAGAAGGGAGGTGTTGAGTATAAACAGGCATAAGCTTCATTATTTTCTAGAAATTATTTATTTAAAATTTAAAACCATATTACTTCATACAGCAAACTGTGCACTTTGATATATCACAGTGTCTTAAAAAGGAAAATAATCAGAATTTTTTCTTTTTTTTTTTATTTTTTGGAAATTGTATTTACATCAGCCTAGAATGATCAGCAAGTAACACAGTTACTATGAAACCAAAATTGTTACAAAATGTTTACAAAAAACTATATTCATAGAAATTCTGCATGTCCACAAAGGAAAAATCCCCTGAATGTCACGGAGACCATTTTTTCCTTTTTCCCACTCTTTTCGTTGTTTTTTTTTTTTTATTATTATTTTTATTTTTTTGTCTTTTTTTGAGAAACATGTCAAAGTCAGGTACAGAGCAGATGCTGATGCCTGGGAATGCTCCTGCCCTGCCAACCCCGAGCACCCCCAGGGACTGTCGTGCCCCACACGCCGTGCTGGGGACCCCGGGGTGAGCACTGGGTGGCAGCCACTGGGATCCACAGGGTCCCTTTGCTGTGGCCTCTTGAGAAACCCCTGTGCTGGCCCCCTGTGCTGGCCCCCGGCCCAATCTACTCCCAGCAGCCCCTCTCAAGGGGAGCAGTGGGTGCCCAGAGTGGAGCTGGTGCCCCTTTGCATATTCTGTCTCTCTGTGGGCCTGTGCCCTCGGCATCGCACCCAACACACGCTGTTGGTTGACTCCAACAGAAAATCCACCCAGGAAAGCTGCTGGCTGTCCCTGCTCTGTCTCACGGGAGAGCTGGAGGGAAAAAGCAAGTGATAAGGGGACAGTGAGCCAAGGTGACAACAGTTTAGATACAGTTCAATAGCCCAAACCTGCTTTTTCTGTATTTCCTCCTGGATTTCTGTATTTTTCTGTATTTCCTTCTCTCTTTTCCAGTCCCTCTGCCCAAGTGAAGAAAGGAACCGAGTTAAACAGCGTTGGAAGTCAGATGAGTTGTAAGATGTGAGTCATCACTAGTCCCAGCCGAGTCACAGACCAGCAGAAGGCTTTGAGGCTTTGTCGTCGGGTCTGTCCCTTCCCAAGTCTCCCAACACATTCTCCTCTGGGATTGACACACATGGCTTTGGGCTCCTGGATAAGGAGCACATGGGGAGCACGGGAGAGGCTCCGGGCTCAGTGACCCCTCCTGGGAGAGCTGCCCCCGGGGCCACAGGAGGGCTGAGGCCACCCTGTCCCCTCAGGTCACAGTGAGCAGGGTGGGGCCTGGCAGCTCCCCTTGTTCTGGGCGGTGCACAGCGTTCCCTTGGTGGTGCTTGTCAAATGCTTTAGTGATCAAAATTTCAACAGAAAACCATAATGTAGATGCAGGAATTTGGCTGCTGTTCGTGGCTGATTTAGGGGTGTAGGGCGGGAAGGAAAAGGCTCATCTGCAGGGTTTGTTCTGGCTGGCAGTGACACCAGTAATTCCAGATGCTCACCTGTCACTGAGACATCTGTGAGTCAAATCAAATCAGGCTGGTGTCAAAGAGGAATAAATGGGGTTTGTGGTATTAGCAATATTTATTTATTTATTAAAAAATCTACCAAGAAGCAAAATGAATGCTGTTTTACTCTCTGGACATTTAAAGCCAGTTTCAGGCTTTGTTTTAATCTCTCCTTTAATTCTAAAAATCTCTTTCTAAGAGCTTAGGACTCTGCAAGGAAAACATGAAATCTACTCCTCTGACAAGCCTAGGATTTGCAAAGGAATACAGAAAGTATGTCATTAGCTTTGGGAAGCTGCCCCACACCTCAGTCTGCCCTCTGCTCTAGGTAATTGGTCAGCAAACTCTTAGGAATCTGGTGCTCACTGCGTGTGCAGCTTTCTCCCCCAGTTTTTCATGGTTTTTGTGAAAAGGTGAAAATGAACGTTGAATTCTTTGCATATCTTTACTTGAGTCAAAGTATGACAAATCACCTGGTTTTGTTTGGGGTCACTCTGTTGCTTCTTTACATCATGGAAAAAGCAAAACAAGGACAAACTGTGTTCCGTGCTGGGGCGGGGGAGCAGCTCTCCCCCCTCGAGCTAATTTGCTAATTCTGCTCAGACAACCTTCCCAACTGAGCACGAGGAGGAACAGGTGGGGAAAAATCCCAAATCAGCTACAAACAGGTTTGTTCCTCTGGGCGAGGGTAAACTCTCCAGAACAGCCGTGTGGCTCGGGGAGGGCAGACGGGGTCAGTTCGTGGCCGGTTCCTGTGGTGACCGTGGCACAGAGCTGGGCACTGGCTGCTCCATGGCACAGAGCTGGGCACTGGCTGCTCCACCCCTGCCCTGCCTTCCCTCCACACGGGTGGGGTCCTGCAGGTCGCTGTCCCCCTTGCCTGTGCAGGGGAAGAGGTTCATGTTTTCTACACCAGCAGTGTTTCAATCAGAGCTCTTAAGCACCTTTGCATCACCAGGTGACGTCCTGGGTTACCAGGGGCAGAGACATTTCCATTTGTTTAACTTTGAGAGTGAACCCGGAGTGTCCTGCTGGCCCCCACAGGTCCCTGGAGCTGAGGGATGTTTACTCGAGTGTTACTTTAGGTCAGCAGAGGGGTCTTTGGTAATTCTGCCTAAATTCATCTGCAGGACCAACCTTCTGGGTCAAGCAACCTGAAAATAAGAAGACAGTTCATGGAAGATTTTCTAAAAACATTTTAGTGTGTGTTTGCTTAAATCCCATGTGGTCGGAGCAGGAGGGACACCAGGCTTAGCACTGGCATTGCTGCTCATCCCAGGCCAGTGCTGGCACCGCAGGCTGGGACTCCTCTTTCGGGTCTGTGATGCCATGGAGAGCGTTCAGTCCTAAACCAGCCCCACAGTCCCCTCCTGGGCTGGAGCTGTGGCTCAGCACTGCTGAGTTCCGTGGAAATGGGTGCTTTCGGCTCTCAGAAGCAGCTCTGTTCCCACCACTGCCCGAGCCCGTGGGCTCAGCTGCTTCCTGCGCTCTCTGTGGGACAGACTGAGCTCTGTGGGAAGAGCAAAGGAGGAGCTGGAGATCACGGTGTCACCCTGGGCTCAACCTGGAGCTTGGCACGGGCCGTGTGGGTGGTGTCACTCGAAGATGCAGTATTCCCTGGCCAGGAATTCAGCTCTGTTCAGGCTCAGTCACCCCTTCCAGACAGCTCTCCTTCCCCAGCTGACCTGGGGAACGTGTGTTGCCTTCTCCCACCACGCTCCCACGTGGATATCCAGCCCTGGATGGCCACAGCCAGGACAACCGTGAGGTGAGGGGCCACCACGAGCTGCTTCAAGAGCAGGCACAGCCTTGACCATCCCAGTGCTTCCCAGATGCCTCTCCCTTTCCCAGACAGTGTATCCAAAATGTGCTGTGAGTGTCGGTGTGGAACAGGTGCTCATTCCTGACCAAGTGTTCCTATTTATTGCCGTGCTGTGGGAGCCGTGCTCGGGGCTCCTCCTCACCCACTCCGGGGCAGGTTGGCTCAATTCTGCTTCACCTCCTCGTGTTTTCAGTGTGTAAACATCAGACTCCTGGGTGGTGGTTGGATTCCATGAGGCCTGGAGGATTGAAGCTTTAAAAAAACCCCAGAAATGAAAAGTAACAAAACCAAAAAGCCCCAAGACCCATGTTGCTGTCCGTGCTTGGAAGTTGTGGCTCCTCTGTGGTGATGGATGCAGCTGGGTTGCAAAGGCCTTGTTCTTGAAATGAACAAAACAGGCTTTTTTTTCTTTTTTTTTTTTTTTTCTGGTGTTTTAATCCTCTCTTCCCTAGTCAAGAGTGCCTCCAGCCTTGTCTGCCACAGTTCCTTCCCTCCCGCCCCTCCCCGTTCCCATTCCCTAGGGGAACACGGGTGCCAATCCGGTGTTGCAGGTCATGTTGTCCTTGCCGGGCAGCCGGCGGTCGTTGAAGGTGTGCATGTTGATCACGGCGTCCGTCTTCACCAGCACGGGGGGCTGGGGCTTGTGCTTGACGCGGCGCTGGCAGGTGAGGGACAGCCGGATCTCGTCGGCCACGGCGCTGCAGAAGGAGCGCTGGGGACAGGGACAAACACTCATCAGTCCCACGGGCTCTGCTCCCCTCCCTGGGCGGCTCTGCAGGGCGAGCACGAGGGCTGGGCTGGTTTGGGGCATGGGCTGTGCTCGGCAGGGATGTGCGGGCCCCGGGCTGAGCCCTCTCCCTTGGCAGGGACTGTGCCTTTGGTGCGTTCAGTCCTGCACAAAGGCAGAGCTGGAGGTGGCTCTGGAGTGCCAGTGCCCTGTGATCCCTGCGGGGGCTGGCAAGGGTCTGACTCCCTCTGTGCTGGCAGTCAGAGGGCCATCAGATCCTACTGGGCCTGCTAGTGGGCAGCTTTCCCTCCTCTGTCTAGTCCATCACAAGGGCAGCTCACTTTGATTTCTGGTCATGCAGATAAATGCACATTCCACTTACTGCACCCGAGGAAGAGGGAGGAACATAAAAGCAGTTCTGTTGTTTCCTGAGCACTGATCATCCACTGTGGGCAGGGGGGCTGGGTCTATGATGCTGGTGAAGAGTTGATGAGACAGTGTGAGGCTTCCTGGTGGGCCCTGACTTATTCCTTTGGGCTCTTTGAATGGGAGTGGGGAGAAGACACATGTATGTTATGCCTGGAATGCAACAGGATTGCATGTGATGGTGGTGAGTGGATGTAACACCTCAGAAGGGTCCTTCCCAGAGACCTCTGTTGGTGTTTTCATGACTTAGGTGTCAGCTTGCTCAAAACTACCCTCCCAGTGTTTGCTGGCCTGGCTGCTGCAGCAGCAGATGACTGTGTTCAGGGCAGACATGACCATCACAGGGACAGATCAATGAGCCTCAGGGGATGGTGGCTTGGCAGTGCTGGATCTCTGCCCCCTCCCTGCCTGTCTCTGGGCTCAGGGTGTGAAGCCCTCCCTGCTGGGCTCCGGGGGTGCAGGAGGGGACAGGCAGTACCTGCTCTCGCTCCGCTGTTTTGCGCAGCTTGTAGATGAACTCCACCATGGCCACGAAGACGGACAGCACCAGGCCTGCTGCCAGCACGATGAAGATCCCCCCGATGTTCTGGATGCCCAGAGCACTGGCCTCCTTGTTCTCATCCTCAGGGCAGCCATTCCCCCGCCACCACTTCTCCTTCATGACGTGGAGCTTGTCCTCCTCCTGGAGCTGGAGGATGGCAATGGTGATCTTGTCCCTGTACGGTGACCCTGGGGAGGGGAACACCATTACACACAGGGGGAAGGTGGGACCAACATCCCACCAGACAGGGAAGGTGTCTGTGTTAAGCAGGGCAGTTCAGACCTCTCTTCAGCAGGCAGACAGTGTAAACTTTGGTATTTGGAACTTTGCTGTTGGGAGTGGATCACATTAATCACCTCTGTTGTGTTGGTGGGAACCAGCCCCCTGGGGGTCCCTGCAGACCCCCACTGTCACTTACCCATGGGCGTGCCAATGCCATAGCCTTTGGTGTCGATGAGCCCCCCGATCTGGGTGAGGTTGCAGTTCCTCTGGGTGATGTACTCGATGGTGGTGGACTCCATCAGCAGGGCGTAATCGGCCGTCAGGGTTCGCTGGATCCCCTCCTCGTTGTTTTTAACCAGCGCCGTGGGTTTGCTGCTCATGAAAGCCCACATTTTTTCAAACGTGGAAATTTTGGATTTCTGGAAAAATGATATCCCCACCCCCCCAAAATAAGAATGAATCTTCAATTTGCTGAAACCTGGTATCTTTTCAGTAAATAATAATAACAATAATAATAGCAGTTAAGAAAGGGTCACAGAGCAGAGCTATCCCCAATCTGACCTTGTCTTAAATACCTCTGTACTTTTACTGCCCAACGTTTTTTGGTTTCATGTTGTCGTAACAAGAGACAAAGGTCCCAGCACATGTTCTGCTGTGCAGGTGATTCAGGTCCTTGGGTGGAACTGAACCCTTTCCTGGCTTCAGCCAAGTGCAGCAAGACCCTGCAGACCCTCCTCGTGTCCCAGGCCAGCAGCAGATCTGCTGAAATGGATTAGTGTCCTGAAAAGGATTTGTTTACCCTTTAACGTTTCTGCACACTGAGAGAACAGGGGGGGTTTCAGAGAACATGGTTTTCTCTGCCACACACATTCTATGATATTTTTGTCTTTCCTCAAGCATGGCAAGGAAATATGTCTCCTCTGAGATATGTGCAACTGCCAAACAGATTTAATGTAACCACGTAAACAGAGGCACAGAGATACTCAAGATTGTCTTACGGCTAAAAATAAACATGGATATTCTTTCACTATCAGCAGACATTCTGTTGCAAAGATGGGGAATATGTTTTCTATCTTGCTATTCATGTGAATGTTGTTTTTTTTCTTCTACAAAATGTGTTGGGTGAGAAGAAATATGGTTATTTTACATCTTACCATAACATTTGAAATGTACCATTTATCTACGAGCACCTTCTGAGTTGTCTCTGCCACTTGTCACAGAAGTCATAGAATCCCAGAATCCCAGAATGGTTTGGGTTGGGAGAAACTCATCCAGTTCCACCCCCATGGGCAGGGACACCTTCCACTAGCCCAGTTGCTGGTCAGAAGTGGCTTAAGTTTTGGCAGATTCCCTGGACAGGCAGAGCAGTGCTCTCTTGCTGTGCCCCTTTGCTGTCCCTCAGATCCTCTCTGTTCCTCCAGGAACAGCACTTGGATATCAAAGCCCGTGTTCCACTGCTGCCTCCTCCTTCATGCACCATTCTGCTTTTCTGCCCAATTCCTTGTTTTTCCTACACCTCTTTTTGCCTTCTCATTTCATCAGAGGCAGCTTAGTCAGCCAGACCTGCTCCTCCACCACGCTCCTGGTCGAGGCTGGAGCTGGCTGGTGAGTTGGAGGGCTGGGAAGTCCCTGTGCTGTGCCCTGGACAAGGGCAGCTGCTCAGCAGCCACAGCGACTCAGACGCTTCAGCCGTCGCTGTTCTCCCTGCAGGTCTCTGTCCTTCCATGAGGAAGCAGGAGATGGAGCCCCAGTCCAGCCCAACTGCTGCTGCCACAGCTCCCCCTCATTTTGTCAGTATCACCCAAAATGTGCCAGCATTGGCTCTTCTGATGAAACCACTATAATTCACAGTGCATTATCTGAAAGTCCCTCGTAATGCTTTGTATTCCAAATGCCTTGCCCAGCCACTTCCTTTTTCCCAGCAAGTTTAGCAAAAGTTAAACAAAAGCTCAGGGGGTGCAGTGCAGTTCAAGCAAAGGCTGTTCCTCTGCCTTTAACCCCGTGGGCCCCTTCTCCTCTCCCAAATGCCCACGGGCTCATTTCTCCTCCATTAAAGCTCATGCTCATTATAATCCACTTGATGAATGTGCAGCAGAGGATGTATCAGAGCAAACTTCATTCAAGAGGCAGGATAATCTCCCTCACTTGAAAATCTGGACCAGTGCCTGTAAGGTAGATTTGTGGCATCTATCAAACCTCAAAGAGCAGCAAGAAATGTAGCCTCCAAAAGGATTATTAAATACCTGTGCGTTACAATGGGTAATTGAAATGAATCTGGTGCTCGGCTGGCTGATAAGGACTTGTTTAACATTTATATAGTTCAAATCAGAGGCCTCTGGGTTTCCTGGCTCTCCCTTTGCCACCTTCTCCTCCTGTGTTTAATGCTCCTTAGGTGTTGACACAGAGCTCTTAACATCGGTGTTCTCCCAGTTTAGAGCATAGAGCAAAATAAAAGGGCAAAAAATCAATAGACTGCATTTAGTGAAGCAAATGGGACTTGCATGAGGCACTGGAGCTCTTCAGGCAACTGAAATTCTATGGAAGAGAAAAAACACTTTTCTCCCCTTAAATCACTGCTTCTGACCAGCTTGAAAGGACTTAATTGTGTTTTGGAATGCCAGGAAGAGCATGGATTTCTCCAAGAAGAGTCCAGCTACTTCGAGTCCAGCTCTGAGCATCCCCTGGGCCGAGCACCCCTCCAGCTGGGGCTCCCCTGGGTCAGGACTGGCCACGAGGATGGAGCTGCTGGTCACTGCTCCCTCCTGCCTGAAGAACAGCCGGGACAGACCTCCGGACACAGGGCCTGGCTGTGTCTCATCCTGCTCACACCTCTCCCTCCTGCCAGTGGAGCTCTCCTCCATTTGTTGGGGGTAAATAACACCAGGATCTGCTCTGCTGTGCTCTGCATCCCAGTCAGCCGGGGTTGGTGTTAAATGAGATGTGTGTGTGAGAGCTGAGCCCCAGCCCCTCCGCACGCAGCGATCGCAGCGGCACCGACGGCGCCTCCAACTTCATTCTTCAGAGTCACAGCTCGGGAGCCACCTTCAATAACCAGTGCTGCAGGGCCAGTCACCCACATCAATTCATGGAATCGTTTAGAGGAGCCCCCGCGAGGCACCTTGCCAAGACACATACGCTTTTTTATCAGCCAAATTGGCAAGAAAGGAACTATCAGGCTTAAGATTTTCAATTCCAGCCTGTGTGCAAAAATAAATTGATTTTCACCAACTGAAGATCACTCACTCTTGAGGACTGAGCATGTACAAGTGAGTCTCTGTGTACACACACTCACACACCCGGGTTCTGGACTGCACGTGAGACCCGTTGTTGGTTTGGAGCAGCAGCATCCTCTGTGGGATGGGAAGGATTTCTGGCATGAGTTATAATGAACTCGAGATGCTATTCCTAAATTAATTGATCCGTGTTTATTCCTGTAACTCAATCTGCATTGCCAGGGAATAAATAGCTTCTCAAAAGTTCTTTTCATGAAGTCAAAATCTGCCAATGTGGTTGGTAAAACTTCTGCTTCTCGTCTGCCGTGGCCAGGTAGCTGGGCTGCCCAGGGAGAACCCTTGTGGGAGCAGGATCCCTCACCACAGAGATGCCCCAGGGGTGTCTCTTGGCTCTGTTCCATCAGGACCTTCTGTGATGTCCCTGGTGAGCTCTGCACAAACCCTCAGGCAGCCTGAACACAGACAGAACTGGTCAGTGCTTTGGGAATCACCTCGGGGAACAGCGTGCAAGGCGTCTGCCTTCCTCTTCCTCCTGTTCTCCACTGCTCCCTGAGCTCAGCTCCAGGATGGTGCTCTCCTCCTGCAGCCCGAGGTGGGCACAGACAGGGGGCTGCAGGGTCATGTGGGAGTTTGCAGCTGGTTTAACAGGAGCAGTGCAGGAGTGAGTTCCTGACGTGTGGGCAGGAGCCAGGCAGCAGTTTGTGCCGAGTCCTGGTGATAATCCATGCAGCAGGATTATTGGTGTGCTGCCCTCAGCCTCTGTCCCGGCAGTGCCGGTGTGCTCGGAGCTGCTCCGTCCCCAGGGGCTCTCCAGGAGCCGTGGTGCACAGGAGCCAGCAGGGCTGTGTCTGGGGTTCCCCCCTTCAGCAGAGGAAGGGCAGGGAAGCCACGAGCCCTTTGCTGTTCCTCCAGTGCCACCCATCCGAGGGAACACGGATCCTCAGGGGACTCCCAGTGCCTGGTGCTTGTCCCCCGGAGCTTTGTGCTGTGTGACAGGTGTCCCCGAGGGGGTGGCACTGCCCCCGTGGCTGTGGGAATTGCCCAGGCACTGACAGAGACCGTCCTGGGGGTGGGAGAAATCCTGGCTCTCCTGTGCCCCTCTGGACATGAAGGACAAGTGAGCAGAACATCCCACCCGGGTGCTCGCACTGCTCTAGTAATGGAAACGCTTGTCAGAGGGGACATCCCTGAGAATTCATCTCCATACAACAGTGATAATAAAATACACTGCATCAATAAACCCTGCCAGGGCCGTTAGAAGCCTGAAGTACGATTCTGATGGATAATGATACAAAGCAATAAATATACTATGTCCTGATGATTGTTAAAAGAGACAGTTTCCTTTTATTCCCGTATAAAAGTCATCTTGGAAAGCGCAGTTAAAGCACAGTTACAGCCTGGCTTTCCCTGCTGACTCTTCCAGGTTTATATGGCTCTGGAAGGTACCACTGTGCATCTGGCCCATCCCACAGACAGAAGCCATGGACCAGCTCCATGGCAGGAGGCAAATGGGCCCTCAGTAGCAAGTGGGCATTCCCAGAAATTGTTAAAGGACAAACCAAACTCCCAACCAACCTCTGCTGCTGCCTGTCACAGTAAGGGTGCAGATTCAGGAAGGGCAGTGGCTCCTCAGCCAGGTCAGAGCCCAGAGAAGTTGTGGGAGAAGGAGGTTCTTTGTAATTAAACCCCAGCACATTTGCTTCCTCTAATGAGTCTTGGCAATAAAACTGGGGAGGCCTCCTCAAACTGTGGCACCCTGTGCCTGCTCCAACACTGCAGCACCAGGTCCAACCTGCCTGGTGAAGCCTGGACTGTGCTTGTCACATATTCCCTTCTGCATTAGGGGGATGAGGGGGAAGGAGTGTTTCCCAGTGGAGGTGTGCTGGAGCCAGTCTCATTCCTGAGCCAAGGGCTGGAATCTGCCCATGCTCCTCTTGCCTTGCCAGGGTGATAATTCCTTAATCACCCCTCGTTTCTATCCCTTTATTCTCTCTCTTGTTTTAAGTGGGTTTTTACAGGCCAGCAGTGGTTTTAAAGGTCTTTTTACACCTCTCAGTTTCTTTCCATTTTTGAGGCAACAGTGGAATCTGACTGACTTCTGAATTTAATTAGGCTTTAAATAGAAGAAGTTAATGCAATTTGATTGTGATGTACTGGTGGTGTTACCTTGCCCTGGATCTCAGAGGTTAATAAAACTGGTCTGCATTGATATGAATAACTGAAGGACAAGAAAGATATTTCAGCTGTAAAAAGTACTGGTCAGGGAGGGCACTTTGCAACATCTGTCCAGCTGCAGGTTCCATTTGTGCTCCTCTGTCCCTGAGGGCTGGCTGGGTCAGCCTCGGGGCTCCCTGGGGCTGTGGTGGCAGAGGCACGGAAGGAGCTGGATGCATCAGATGTGGAGATTGGGAAGATGCTTTAAGGAATGTAAGATTTTTCTGTGGGGCTTTAATACAAGCCACACCTGTCCCGTTGTGCCTGGCACGTGCTTTGTTTGAGGGTGTCTGAGCCAATGTTGGATACATCCTCCAAAGCTGTAAAATCAGTGTCATTTTCTAACTGTGACTTCAGTTGGCAACAGGGAGGGAGGATTTAGCCTTGGTGGGACTCAGGAAGGCTGCCCTGTCAGTCTGCACGAGATGTGAGACTGAAGGAACCCGCCTGTGAGGAGCAGCAGCGGTGGCCTGGGAGGCTTTGTGTCTTTGGGTCTTTGTTCTCACTCCCGTTGGCCTCAGCGTGTTGCATCTCTGCCTGGAAGGTAGAAAGCCTCTGCCTGGTCTCACCTTGAAGAAGGTCATGGTAGCTCCATCCTTCACTGCTCCGTACTCTATTTTTGTCTGCTTTGCCAAGTCATCTGCCGAGTCGATGGGGGACTCCATCCTCTCCACCGTCAGGAAGGCGGCGAGGTTGGCCGTGTAGGACGAGATGATAATTAGGGTGAAGAACCACCATATGCCACCAATGATCCGTGTAGACAGGGCCTTGGGCATCAGCTCCGAGCCTGGGGTGGGAGAGGGGAAGGGCAGGGAGGAAACAGAGGGAAAGGACCCGTTTTATACGTACTTATGTACATTATATACGTACATATACATATATATATGTAGGATTAAGTTTCACTGTCAAAACTGTAACAGCTATGCAATTGAAGCCAACTGGTTTTGAGGCAGATTACCCAGACATCTTGCATGCGAGGACATCAGTGGGGTTTTTGTAGCATTTGCAGAAAAACCCTCTCCCTCGATTGCTGACCTTGGGTACAGTGCCCAATTTACAGGAAACGTCCAAACTGAAGTAATTAACTGGGCTGCTTTTATGAGATTTAAATAGCAAGCTATTTATGAACTTTTATGAGTGTTTTGTTCTGCCATTTAAAAAGTGCTTTGCTTTTATATGGATTATTTTCAAAGGGCTCACTCTGGGGAGTGTGTTCAAATACACAAGGTTTGAAAAAAAATCAAACAGCCAGAGAAAGGAACTATCAGGGTCCAGGGCTTTGAATGCCAGTTAGAAGGGGGGAAGCAGGAGATGTTACAGCATAAAAGGTGTGGTGGGTCTGGAATGACTTTCATTGAGCAGACACGAAGGGCTAAATGGGTTGTGCTATTTTTGTAATCGCCCCAAACACCTTTTAAAGCCAGGCAAGAGCTTTGGGTTTGAAACAGCTGCGCTCAGAGGATTTATCAGCCTGGAATGTGCAACAAAGATTGGGCTTTGCAAAGCAATTTTAGGCAGTGTGGCATCAAAGCAGAGCTTGGGGTGTAGTTTTGCTCCCATCTGAGTGCAGCAAGGAGGCACCAGGAGGAGGAGGAGCCCTGGATATTGAGGATGCTTTGGTTCTCCTCGAGATCCTGCTCCTTCCCCGTTCCATCTCCTGCCCTTTGATGCATTGGATGCTGTGACATCAGTCCGGCTTTGAAATATTTTTCTTCTTAGATGCAGAATTGAGTTAAAAAGAATACAGCTCTTTTCATTTATCAGCATCTGATAAGGGGATGATTCATCCTGCTAAACCATCTTGCTGGGAACTGTCACAGTCCACGAGGGCAGCCGAGATCCAGGAGGAATCTCTATTACAGGCAGGAGCTCTGTGCCTGCACCGAGCCAGTGCTGTGCTGCTTTTGCTCTCTGGGCATAACTACTGGTACACGGTAAATTAAAGTGTGACAAATGTTTGACATTTCCACTTATTTCTATTCCTGGATTTTCTGCAATTAGATCACAGCTGAATTTCGTTCCTTATTCAGAGCTGCTCCCAAGCTCCCCCCCTGCTGCCTTCTGAACAGATTTACTCTATTCATTCCATCTCTCTGTATTCCCTTTGCTCTATTCCGTGCATGCACACGAGTGTAATCCCATCCATATCCCATTCCCAAGGCCCTGTCATGGGAGTGTCTCACACCAGGGACACTGAAACCAGTCCCCTCAGGCAGTGGCTGCCGAGCAGGGGCTCCCAGGGAGCTCCTCACCAGGAGCTTCAGGCCACTTCATGCTGCTCAGAATGACCAGGGCAGGGAAAAAATGGGGACAGAGCAGAGGGCAAGGCACCCTGTCTGCTGGGAAAGCTGATTTAGAGCAGAGCAAGCCAGGGCAGAGATCCTGAAATGGAACAAAGGGTTTGAATCAACAGAAATAGGAATTTACAGATCTGTGGGATGTGGCTGAGTTGGGTGAATGAGGCAGCTGAGGGACAGGAAGGCAGGGTTCCCCCTCAGGGCGTGGTGGTGGGTGCTCAGAGGTTGCAAACAAACCAAATTTTAAATTAAAAAAGCCACACTGGCAAGTGGGTGCTGGGCAAGGGGCTGGGGTAGGCAGGGTGTGCTGCCCTACCTTGCTGCATCAGCGCTCCCATCCCAAACCAGAAGCTGTTGAGGAGGGTGAAGTTGTTCTCCACGATGTCCGAGCCCGGGTTGCAGGGATGGGCATCGTACCACTCGTAGGGGCTGAACCTGCAGCACAGGGAGAGAGGGTTAGTCAGGGTGTGGTGGGACAGGATCCTAAAGGAGCAGGAGAAAAAGGGCCTCAGTGCCTCTGGTGCTGCCGGGCTGGGGCTGCTGACCCCCTGGTAGGAGGTCTGGGAGAGATTCTGACTCTGCAGAGGTGTCTGGGAGAGATTCTGACTCTGCAGAGGTGTCTGGGACAAACAGTGGTATTTCAGGGATTCTCCCAGCAGTGGATGTGGAAACTGGAGTGGGATTCAAGTTAGTGAGAAGCAGAACTGTCCACCGTCCTGACAGGCAGGAATTCTGCCCAGTCAGGGCACCAGCAGAACAGTGGAATTTGGTGCAGGTTCCCTGTGGATTGCTGTGACACTTGGCACTGTAGCAGGTGGTGGGAGAAACTTATTCCCTGCAGGGATGTATTTCCGTGGATGGCCCTGCAGTTCTTGAGCAAAAATGAGATAATTTCCTGTGAACATCTCTGCAAATCCTGCCCAGGATTGGCAGGAAAGCACTGCTGGGAACGAGCTCGTTTAGCCAGGATCTGGGGAGGATGCTCAACAGGAGAGACGTTAGTATTTTTAGAGCTGTTTATTTACATTTTCTGAGAGTCCCAAATTTTGCAGAGATTAAATTAAAAACATAATTGGTATAATTGCTTTTGAACCAGGCATTAATTATCATCTCCGCTTCCTTCTGGAATCCCTGGAGATTCACAACAGCCCCTTCTCAGAGCCCAGCCCACAGCCTGTGTCAGGAGATGTTTCCCTCTGTAATTCTCCGCCAGATGTGCCACCACCCAAGGAGACAGTTTGTGGCTCACTTCCAGGGGTGCCCTCGCTCACAGAGCTGGATGTGTTTGGAGAGAAGGGCCCCAGCTCTGTGCCAGGTCCCTGCTGGCACTGAAACCTGCCCCTGGCACACGTGGGTGCAGAGCTGGAATCCTGTCCCGTGGCCGGAGCAGGGCCAGGCACGGGAGGGTCCGGGGGATGGACCACCCCAGGGGATGGACCAGGCTCTGCTCGTGCCTTTGGAAAGGGTCACCCTGGGCTCAGCTCTCCCACTTTTGCTCCTATTTTCCACGTGCAATGTACAGTTCAACAGCCTCTCCTCTGCTCCGGGTTATCTCACCTCCTGCAGCGGGGCCGTTCCCTGCACTGGGTTGGGGGTGTGGAACCAGAGGTTCTGCTCACCCAGACAGTCCTGCTTGTTCATTCAGGCAGTGGCTGGGCTGTCCTTGCTGCCCACCTCTGCTTTTTAAATCAGAGGAAATCAGCAAGGAAACAAGAACCAGGCTGAACTCAGACCCAGCTTTACATGCTGCTTATTCCTTGTAACTGGCTATAAATCACCCCAGAGGTGGATAAAGGATGGCACCTCAACCTTTTCTGTCGGATAAAGCCAGAATTCAGGAATTAGATTAAAACTTTCTTGGGCTGCCAGTGAAACACTATGAAACAGAAAGGGAATGGGTGAGATCAATGAGCCTGGTGAGATGACACGCTGGAGAACTTCAAGGTCTCTGAGCAAAAACCTACTGGTGCTGCTCAAATGAGAGAGAAATATTCAGAAATCTGCAGAGCAGCGACAGTCTGAGCAGTGAAACCATTAGTGGAAGCAAGAGGTAACGAAGGAAGGAGGGAGAGGAGCTCACTGACCCCATGCAGCTGTGGCCACAATCCATGGGGAGCTCAGGATGCTCCATGGATGGATTCCCTCGCCCACAGGTGCCCAATGGGCTCAGAGGAGTGTTCCATCAAAAACTGTGATTGTTTCCCTGTCTCTTTTGGCCTTTTTTGGCAGGGAAATGGAAGCATTTCAAAGAAGTTTTAAAGTCCTAATGCAAAATACTTCTGAGTCTAAATTGCATCTCCAGAGAAATTTCCTGTGGGTGACCCAGCCCTCAATGCAATGAGGAGGGATAATGAACCCACTGCCCCTTGTGCACCCGAGGGGTGGGGGTTGGGAGCAAGGGCTCCATCAGTAAAGGACTGAAAGACTGATTAAAGGAGAAATGGATCAAATCCATCCTTTGCCTGCCTCTAAATAGTCCCCGAATCGGTTTTAAGTGGCATTGACCAATGGCTGTGGCAGGAGCAGAGGACTCTGGTGCCTGGTTCCAGAGACTCATGGCTTTGAATTAAGGCTTTGCTGTTTTGGCTGCGGTTTCCTTCTGAGAATTGAATTCCAGAGGCCTTGCTGGGGTCAAAGGCAGATATTGTTTCCATTACTTCTGAACGCAGTAAATATTTTCCCTGTGAAATCTCTTGCTTTCCATCTCTATGTGTTAAAAGATCATTCCTGCAGAACCTTAATTACCCTGAATACTTGGTGTTCTTTGAAAGAAAGATGACAGAAGAAATGTCGGGAACAAAACAAGTGAAAAATAAACAGTAATCACAATATTTTATGTGTTGGATTTCAGCCAAAAATGGCCTGATAGAGAAAAATTGTAGTATTTCATTGCAATTGATGTGATGCAGGGAGATGCTGAGGCTCATTTCAGAACAAAACCAGAGAAAAAAAATATAGTTCTCCAGGTTTTCATCCCTCAGCACCAGCAGAGAGCCAAGGCTGGGCAGAGCCACTGTGCTCAGACAGAGCATCTGGATGTCCCTGTTTGTGCAAAGTGGTCTCATCAGGGCCTGTCCCAGCATTTCCTTCAGCCTTTCCTCAGTATTTGCTGCAGTATTTTATGTGCAGATACAGTTTGCACATTTAACATGCTTTGTAAGTGGGGTCTGGACAATTTGGGCTGGATCTGGCCATTATGAGTTGGGAAAAATAAGCTCATGAATATAAAACTGTGTTTGAATTGCCACTGCGGGCTGCACAGGCAGCCTGGTGCTCGGTGGCACTGAAGGCAGCAGTGCTGTGGGAGCAGAGCCCACCCAGCTGTGTCCTGCCCAGGGACAGACAGCCAGGGGCTTTCTGCCACTCATCCCAGGATTTCTCCTGCTCGTAATTGCCTTGGGTCCATTTTGCCAGATGAGAATCTTTTCTTGCTGAGAACATCTGGTTCTCTCTGGCACAAAGCAGAACCACTGAGGGCCTCACCCTGCCCCGCTGGAGCCCCCATCGTCTTCCCAGGGGTTTCAGCTGGTGGCAGGGAGGGTTCTGAAGGCCCCACTGGTATCAGTTCGATGGGCAGTAGTGAGAGATGAGTGTCTGACTGCAGGCTGGGCTGAGGAGTCTTCCCTGGACGTGTTGTTTATGCACAATATTCCATGGAGGGCTGTGTGTGGCCGGGGGGGGCGGCTGCCCCGGGGGGGGGGAGTGCCTTGTTCTGGTTTAAAAGGTGGGATCATGGATTGAGAGCATCCCTGGACTGAGTCTCATCAAAGGCTCTGTGGAATTAGCAACACATGTAAATATATGCAAATTATGATTTTAAATATAGAGGATTTAAACATGCTAATTAGATGCATATTAGTGTTGTAAACAGACACATTGTCAGATCTGTGGCAATGGTTTCTCCATTCTTTTGATATCAGGGAGGGTTTGCTGGAGCTTTACTGGTGGAGGGATCAGAGCCAGGAGCAGCAAATGGTGTGGGAGATGGAGCTCTGTGTCCAGGAGCCAGCAGGGTGTGGGAGATGGGAGCTGTGTCCAGGAGCCAGGAGAGGCTGGGGAGGGATGTGAGCAGTGACTGAACAGGACGTGAATGGAGAACGACACAGAGCAGGAAAATTACCCTTCACGTACCAGAGAGGGGCTGATGAGATGGAAAGGCAGCAAAATTTCCAAGATCATGAAAGAAAGTGCATTTTAAAATTCTTTCCTGCTGGCAGTGTGTGAGAGCAAGCAGCCCCCAAGGGGATCCCAGTGGTGACACGGGGTCGGTGTGTCCCCTTACCTGGCTATGACAAAGAGCACGCAGCTGACCCCCAGGTAGGCGAGGAGGATGTACATCCAGATGTCGGGAGAGAGGGGGTTGAGGAAGGAGAACACGCTGGGGTTGGTGCCGTTGGGTTTCCGGTACAGGATGCTGACCCCCAGGGTCATGAAGGGCTTGGAGAAGTCGATGGCTTTCTCCCGGACGTGGGTGATGGTGAGAGGAGCCACGGCCAGGTCAGCTTTCTGTGAGCAGCACAGAGGGAGGGGACAGGGCGAGAAGGAAAGGAGGAGTTAGAAGCTGAGGTGTTTCCATCTCTTCAGAGACACCTACAGCCCTCACACAGCAGAAAGGGGCCAAAAAGTGCCCCAAGTGCAGCCTTGGGGTTCCTCCCTCCTGTTGCACCTGGGGACATGTGCTGTGAAATACAGATGTGGGGTGTATGATTTGTGCTGTGAAACAGTGCAGCCAAAGGGAGGTGTGACAGCCTCTGCAGCTCTTCCAAACTGGTCAGAAAAATGTGATTTTGTGGTGTTACAGTGTCAGTGACCCTCGCTGTGCCTCCTCACTGGGGCTCTAAGCAGAGAGCAGCTCTGTGTAAACCCGCCGTGGAGGGGTTGTTGTTGTCCTTCCTTTCGTGCTGCTTTACTGATTTCTGTGCTATTTCAGTGAGTGACCACATACACCCTATTGGTTCAGAGCTGTGTTCATTCCTCTCATTAAATATTCACCCAGGTTCTTAAAAAAGCCAGAAGAAAATACATCCAAGGCTTTCTCAATGTCACCCGCCTTGCCTGGGCTTTGCAAACCACTCTTTGGGACTGTGGACTTCCAAGGAAACGCAGGCACATAAATTATAGCTCTGAAGTTGAGCAGAACCTCCCCCTGTGCCAGGAGCTCGTGCGAGATTTATTTAACATCTGGTTCTGAAAATTAAAATTCTGCATTACCCATGAGTGATAATTACCTAGAGATGGAGTGGATTTGTCATTACTCACAAAGTTTAAATCAATATGAGCTGGAACATGCTTTGCTCCAGCAGGAACTGGGGGTTCACTGTAGGAACTGGAGCAGATCCCTGGCCTGTGCTGGGGGGGAAGCTCAGGTTAATGGTCTCGTTTGGCCCTTCCAAATCTGTGATGAAAGTCAGTGGAACATTTTTAAATAGAGGAATCTGGGCCTTTTACTCTAAGAAGAGTCTCTACAAGAGCTGTTGTCCATTACCCGTGTGTGTGAGTGTGAAAGGGATCCCCTCTCCAACGAGCGCAGCCTCAGAGGCCTGAAGAGCTTCAGGAATTCTGTAACAAGGGTAAAAGGGGGGGTGTATTTTGTTCTAACGTGGCTCTCCAGCTGCGCCCTGGTTAGTCCCCTTTCCTTCTCACTTTCCAAATGGAAATAGGTTTTTAAACCAGGTTGGTGCAGAAACAGCCCATTTGAGTCACTGGCACTTGTCAAAACATGGGGAAAATGGGAACAATATTTTCCAGGTGAGCCTGGTGTGCCACCTGTGGTTGTGGTGACATGGGTGGAGGCTGAAGGACAGGGGTTTGGAAGTGGTGGCTGCTCAGCCTGAGGTGGGAACGTTCTGCATCCTTGGGACCGTCCTGGCAGGTTTGGAGCTCGGCTGCTCCCCCAACCTCACAGCACACCTGGGAATTTTGGCTTAGTGCTCCCCACAGTCACAAGGCAGAAATGCAAAAGAAATGCAGCGTTTTCCCTCCTCCATCACTTCTGTGTGGGTGTCCTGACTCACCAGGGAAAAGCGAAGGAGATGTTGAAGGATTTGGCTCCGAGTTTTTCTGAAGGAGGGAACAAACGAGCAGTTCTGTGGCCAGAGCTCGCTGGCCAAGGGATGGGCTGAAGGATCCTCAGCCAAATTTGTCACAATGGTACAGTGAGCAAAGGAACAGCCTGGAGTTTGTGCTTTGCCATGGAAAATGAAGAGAGAGAAATCTGCATGGACACCCAGGGATCCAACTGCTTTTAGTGCAGAAATAAAATTTTATTCCATTGGTTCCTGAGATGTGCTCCCAGCCCGTGTCCTTGCAGGGAATGTCACAGGCAGGCAGGACGGAGCATGGATTTGGGAGCCCGGGCTGGGGTGTGTCCTGAGCAATTAGAGGCAGTGCAGGGCTGCAGTTCCATATCCTTTTTATCAATGCAGATCTTTCTGAAGGTGGCCTCTAATTAAAGGTTTGCTGACGGAGAGGATCTAAATCAAACCCACCAAGGATGAAGCTTTGATTTGTCGTGCTCTGACGTTCCAAACCGGGCAGTCAATTACCAGGCTCTGGCTGCTTCCTTCACTCAGCCCTGACTCTTGTGCTGTTGCACAGTCAGGTGGATTTTATTGAAAATGAGGAATTAGAGCAAGTGCCAGTGGCTTAAAGGCCCTTGTCCAGCAAAACCACTTAAGCCCATGCCTCTCTTTTCCTGGAGCTTGCACGCCTTCCAGGCGCTGTACATGTTCTTAAGTGTTCTGCTGAATTGAGGCCAAAAAGATGAATTTTGCCGAGGCAGCTACACACCAAATGCAGACACTTCTCCAGCCCACCTCGAAGGGTTTGGGTCTCCTCATTCCCCCAGTTACAGCATTTTCACTTGGCTGGAACGGCTGCGGGTTCACCGGGCGTTCAGCACAGGGACGATCACATTCGCTGCAGAGGTATTTGGCTTTTATCAGAAAATGCCAAACCTTATCTCCAAGTTCTCAGCTATCAGGGGGATGTGGCCTGTGGGTCAGAAGAGCTCTCACTGTGGGAATCCTGCAGTGCCCGACCTTGGCCGGAGCCGGGCTGCGGGTGAGGGTTGGTCATGGCAGAGCCCAACAGCTGAGCACCCAGACAAATATTTATCCAAGAAAATAAGCTGCCTCTGTGCTTATTTTGCCAACCTGCCTTAGGTATTTACATAAACTAATCATGTGTGTGTTGCCTGAGAGACAGAAATAGTGTGTGTTTTACTGCTTTAATTGTTATCCAGGTGTCTGTCTGGCAGCACCAGCACTGTCCTCCCTTGGTCTCTCTTGCCACTGCCAGTGCTGGGCCTTCTGTGCTGGATTCCATCTCTGTCCCCTCCCTGCTCTGCTCGCTTGGCTGCCGTGCCCTGCTCCTGTTCCCTGTGCCCAGATGAGGGGCTGCTGCTGGGGCAGGTGTGGGAGTGCTCTGTGGGAGCCCTGAGCCTGCCCAGGGACAGGGGAACACTCCCTGGGAGCAGGGATGCTCCAGGCAAGCAGGGTTAGTGTTAACTGCCTGACTCCAGCTCTTAACGGCTGCTCTGGCAATCTCAGTCCTCATTTAGACATAATTTTTGTCATTGAATTTATTCAATATCAGTGGTGAATTAAGAACAGATGTCGACAGGGAAAACCTTGCTGTGAGCTGAAGAGGAGGAATGAGAGCCATGAAGTCCTGTTTGGGCTCTTGTAATCTTCACTTTAAGGAAGTTCTTCAGAGCTGGAGCTGCCATTAATTGTACCTGAGGGATGTGAAGCTGAAAGATCCTGGTGAGAATGGCCATACTGTGAGAGACAAGTCCTATCCTAGGGATTCCTGGCAGATGAACCAGCCAGGGAGGGGCAGGCAGGTCCAGAGACACCTGCAGAGACATGCAGAAAACTTGGGGTCTCAACATCCACTTCAGTGCTTCTATCACCTGATCCCTGAATAGGACCCAGTTATGAATCCACCCAGTTAATGATCTCAGCACAAAAGGAAAAGCTGCTCTGGCTCATTTCCATCCCCTCCCCAATGCTGAGGTCCTGCAGTGTCTAAACAAGAGGTGGAGGGCACTTCATCCAGTGAAATTGTTTTTTCCCCTGTTTCTGGCTCTGTGGCTTCCAGACAAAGCCTCAGTTCACGACACTTGAGATGAACCTCCACCAGTGCAGGAGCGTTAATGGGGAGCTGGCAGTGTGCTGCAATATGTATTTCTACCTGAATCTGCTGTCAATAAATGTCCACTTCTTGTGAAAGTGTTAAATCAACCATCAGGAATCGTCCCTAAGGATGGATATTACATCTTCTCTACAGTTACCATTGGCAGGGATTTCCATTAGAAACCCTGGTATTTTCCATACCTGTTTTATTCCCACCTGAAGTTTCAGATTGAATGGCAATTTGATGTGCACCGTTTCAGCAGAAGACAAGTTTTATTTGTGAACAAGTTTGTGCAAAATGTCCAGAACAACTCATTCTGCTGGTTTTATGGGATCCTGCCCACAAACAATGGGGAAGATTTGCAGGCGTTGCTTTGCCAGACAACTGGAATTTATAAATCAGAACGGATGGGCCACGGTGTGCAGTGGAGCTTTGCTTGTATCAGTAATAATTTCTATGAATAAACATCAATAGCAGTTCACTGCTGCTGAAAGGAGGAGGTTTGGCAGTCATCAAGTTCCCTGTTTGTTATGGATAAAGGGCTCGGGAGCTTCTCTGCATCACCTGGGTGCCCCAGACCTCCCTGAATACCCAAGTTCAGCTCTCACAGCCCTTCTGATGAAGGCAGCTCTGCAGGAATGGCCAGAGCGGTGACAATAAGCAGCAGACTGGTGAGGGGAGAGGTTAGTTCTCCAGGGAATGGGCTGAACTCCCTCAAAACAGGGATTTTTTTCTGCTGAGGACGAGCAGCAGATGAAAGGCAGCGGGGCAGGGCTGTTGCGTTCAGCTGCGCGAGGCACCTGGCAGACAGGGTCGTGCTGTGCCTGCTCTGATTGCTGTTGCTTTTCCTGTTTATGCTTAAGGCCAGACTAGAAACGCAGGGATTTTACAAAGGATCATAGCCCAAGGCATCCCTGCCTGTGGCCAGGCATGTCTGGATCAGAGAGCAGAGGGGAGGGGGGATGCGTGACTGCGCCAGCCGAGAGCACTCTGTGTAAACACCTCTGCACGGGCCTGATTTACCCTCTGGGAGCCTGATTTACCCCCTGGGTGATGGCACCCACCCCTCAGACACTGCTCTTGTCACCCCCTGGGCTGCCCCTGCCCAGCTCCTCTCGGGTGCCTCTCCCAGCCCAGCCAAGGCCATCCCGAGGCACTGGCTGCCCCTTCCCTGCCCATCTTCTCCAGGTTTCAGCCTTGGATCAGGCTATTCCTGGCATGCAGAATCTGCCACTCCCAGGGCTCCCAGGCTCTCTGAGCAACAACAATCACCATTTTAGCCTCTCATTTCCCCCCAGGAGGACCCCCTGCTCTGCACAGGCTGTTCTGTGAGCCCACCCCAGCTCAGCCCACCTGCATCCCAGCAGTCCTGGGGGCTCCATCCCCTGAGTTAAGTGGGTCTTCAGCACAGACTTAATCCTGACCTGGCTGTTTGGAACTCACGACATCCCATCTGCTTTATTTTCCCACCTGAACGATCCCCATTGGTTTATGAGAAGGGGACACTGAACATGGAGGAAAGCCAGCCCAGATAACAAATTCTCAGTGTGGGCAGCCCTGTTTTCATCACCACAGCTCTACCTGAATGCTGTCTGCAACACTTTTCCTCCTGGGTGTGAAATGAACTTGCCCGTTGCAGTGTCCATGGGTTGTTCCTTTCCCCACACCATGGGAAGATGCCGCCGAGGAAGGGCCCATCTGGTTGCAATTTCACTTTTTAAAGCTTTACATAAACACTGCTGTAAAAAGCAATGACGTGCAGATCAGGGAACTAATAGCTTCATGTGGGGCCTCAGCAGTGTCATCAGCCCCTGCAGACACACTTCAGCCTCACAGGACAGAGTGCAGAGCTCCACCTCTGTCAGAGGACAGCTTACAAGAAGAGGGGATTTGGTCCTTTCTGGCTGCTCTGTGTTAATTTGCTTTTTAAATAGTTATCCAAAAAACACCATAGTGCAGGCTGACCATAAATTTTGTGTTAGTTAATGAGGTTGTTCCCCACACCTTCTGCTTCATTTAGCTGACCACAGCTCTGGGAATGGCTGAAGCCCCCAGGGCCCTGTGGCATCTTGCAGGACAGTGGAGGTGGCACAGTTTGGGCTCAGTGACTGCTATTCCCTGTATCTTATTTCCCGCTTTGGAGGGATTTGCTCCTTCCAAGCCCGGTGCTGCAGCCTCTGCAGTGGGAGCCCCATCCCTGCTCCCGGCAGCGGGTGTGGGGTGGCAGGAGCTGTGTCCTGGGGGGCTCTGCCAGGGGCACAGTGGGCACTGGGTGTTGGTTGGGATTCGTGTCACACACATCACTGGGAGCGCAAAGCACCAGCCCTTCCGCTGGGACACTGTCGGTGTGACAGGCAAAGCTGTTGTGTAAGAGGCTATAAAATCTGTATTTTCAGCTGCATGGAGCTTTCCAGAAGCAGAACCAGCAGGGCAGGTTTGCACAGGCGGTGGGATATTCCCCTGTGAGGCAGTGTCCTGCTCCCCAGGGCTGTCCCCACGTGCCCTTGCCGTGCTCCTGCTCCTGGGTGAGCTCTGCAGTGCCTGCTGCAAACTGACTGTCACCGTGTCCCTGTAAGGGACATAATCATTATCATCTGCATTTTACAGATGGAGGAAGCATTGCACAGAAGCAAGTTGTCCAATGTCATTTAGGGCAGATGAGGCAGATCAGAAGCCCAGCCCGGCTCCCGAGCCAGCCCCAGCTCTGCACGCAGTGACTCACCCAGCAAACATGTTCCTCCCCCAGGAACTGTACCCCATCCTACGGATGGGGGATTATTTTTATGCCTTTGCTGCCTAGGCCTTGGGCTCAGAATGTAGCCAGGACCTGGAGAGGTGGTCCCAAGGCTGCCCCAGTGGAGCAGGACATTGCCATTCAGGAGGAGAGCACAGTGTTACAGCTCTTGCCCTGCCTGTACTGGGGAGAGGAGAGAGGAATTTTGTCCTCAGCTTTTCTTCCAGAGACCTTCTCTGGGAATCAGATATTCATAAAAACTCCAGCTTTCCTCACCTCCCTAACTGGACTCCTGGGATCACAGGATGTGCTGGAGGCAAGATATCTAATTAGGGAACTGAGCAGGCTCTGGCCGCGAGTGGCGGTTTCAGCCTCGGTGACGTTGTGGTGGCTGCGGGAGAGAAGCTGTCCCTGCAGGGTCCCTGGTGTTTAATGGGGTTTTGGAAGTGGCCACAGAAGGAGAAGCACAGCTGCTGTGTGGCAGAGGGAGCTTTGTGTCCCAGGAGACTTCAGAAAATAAGTTGCTTTTATAGAAAATAAAAAATTAAACTGTCCAGTGCACACCTGCTCCTGCAGTCTGGATACCTCCTCTGGACTGGGCTGGCCTGTGTCTGGGACATGCCTGGGGTCCCCAAGCCTCCTTGGTGCTGTGCCCTGGCCCATGTTTGTCCTCAGGAGCCACAGAGCCCATTTCTGTGCAGTGAGAATGGCTGTTTTCAGGAGTTCCAAGGGAATGTTCGGAAGAGCCAGACACAAAGATGCTTTCCTGACAGCTGATGTGACATGGAGCCAGGCGGGGTCAGGAGCTCGCTGTGGGTGTCCCGAGCCAGTGAGCAGTGGTCTCTGTCCCACCCCAGCCAGCCAGCCCTGGGGCCAGCCTGGGGCCAGCCCGGCACAGCCACCCTGGCACTGCCCCGGGGCCTCACTCACGTGGTCGATGAGCTCCTTGATCATGCCGTTCCACTGCCCCTTCTCGTCCTGCGCCCCGTACTTCCCGTCCTCCACCAGCCGGATCTCGTAGGAGAAGCCCAGGATGATGGCCAGCTCCTTGAGCAGGTCGATGCAGTAGCCCTCGAAGCGGTCGTTCCCAAACAGGGCCGTGTCGGACTTTCGGAACATGACAAAGGGCTCCTCCTGCACCAGGGGAGGCAGAAAGTCCCCATCAGGGTCAGCTGGAGGCCGGGCCACCCCTGTGGGTCAGCCCGAGCCACCGGGCACCAGCTCTTCAGGCAGGGCTGGCACCGTGACATGTTGAGAATAAATTAACTTTGCACAGCACATCAGCTAATTAGCAACCTTGTTTACCCCACAAAATTTAATTTTGTCTCTCTGAGCAGCCAACTGTTTTCCATTTGGTAGGATTTCAGGGAGAAAAATAACCATTTCATGCTCTGAAAATGAAGTGTTAGAAACAGTAAAAGAGGGGGAGGACAAACTCACCCCTGAGTCCTGCACCCAGGAGCTGCAGCGAGCAGGGGGCTGGTGAGGGAGCTGTGCATGGCTGGGGCCACCCCAAAACGTTCCCCATGCAGCTCGTGTTGCTCTGTGCTGGCACCACCTGATGGACACGGGGCCCTGCTGCTGCCCAGGGAAGCTCTGTGTGCCTGTGCTGCAGGTACAGCTGCCCTGGGAGGGCTGGGGGTGCAGAACCACGGCAGAGCTGAGCCCCAGCACAGGGGAGACAGAAGTACTCGGTGACCTGTGGGTCTGTCCCCTCCAGCAGGGCATGTGAAGTCACACAGTGAAGTCCAGAGCCCTTTGGTGACTCTCAGGCTTGGGCAGCCACCGAGGACGAGGGACACTGGGGAGCCCGAGGGAAAAACGTGTGGAGGACAGATGGAAATGGGAAAGGATGGTGGGCAGCAGGAGGGTGAAGCATCTACAGCAGCGAGGCTGTGGCTCAAATCAGGGGTGTCTGCAGGGCTCCTGCCCTTGCTGGGGGTGGCCAGCGAGGGGAGGGCTCGTGCTTTGCTCTGGTGACCAGCCCCTGTGGGATTGCTCGGGGATGGGGGGCTTGAGGAGGTAGGAGGGGAGGTCTGGACCCCTGGTTAGAGCTGGACTTGGTGGGGGTGGGCACCCTGCCCAGGGTGTGCTCCAGGGAGGGGCTCAGGGCCCAGAGTGGGACTGTGCCAGCTTAGAAGCTGCTGGTTCTGGTCACCTGTCAGCCCCCCCTCTGCCCAGGGACCTGTGTGCCCCTGGATGGGACAGGGGGCCCGTCTGGCCTGGCAGCAGGGTCGGGGGGGGATGTGGGAGTGCCTGAACCCCCCTTGCAGAGTTCTAAAGCCTGGCTGATCTCATCCCGCCCGTGGAGCTCAGCCTGGCACGCGCAGCTCGGCTCAGTCCCGCTCTCCCCCGCCGCCTCCTCGGCTCTCTGCTCTGGAATTAGTGCTTTGTTTGGGAATCAGCTGAATCCATGGATCCTGATATAAATACACTGGCTCCAGAGCAGCCATAAAGCACTATTAATTTTGGGAAGCGCTGTAGGGATTACATACATATTTAACAGCCGAAGCACTGAACATTAGGACGCCACTCGCTTCAGTAATGTATCTCCAGGTCTCAAACATTTCCTAGGGGGTAATTCTGAACTCTGTGAACCACTTATTCACGGACTATTTCACAATTTATTACTGAAAATGGCCAGACATCCAATTCACAAGCTCTCTCGGTTTGCTAATCGATTTCTCAGTGAAGGTGCCCTCAATTTCATAACTTCACAGTTCCCATATTGCTTGGGGAGAGCAGTGCTGGCTGCTGGGGTAATATTTCTCTTCCAACAAGTCACTGCAATATGAGCAAAAGGGGAAAAAATAACCTTTCATGCTTTTCCTTTTAGAGGCTCCTCCTCTGGCTTTTCTCCCGTCATTTACAGTAGTGCAGAAGTACAAAGGGGTGTTGCAAATGCAAATAACATTTAGGGTTGCACTTTATATTTTAGACTCCAGTATAGGAAATGCAATTCCTGCAGAACTTGGGTCTGAGCACGTTCCCTCTTCCTGCAGGCACAGGGATCACAGGGGGGCTGGGGCTCCAGGGTGGGTACCCCATGGCACGTGCCCAGGCCCACAGAGGGGCACAGTTAATGGGAACTGATATCACCCTGTGCCTTATGTAATTTGTAGATGCTCGCAGAGCACGGGGTGGAAATGCTGCCCGAGAAAAGCCTGTCCAGGGCAGATGGCTGACAGTCCCCTCCTGGCCCCGTCCATGTGCATTATGGTGTGGCCTTTGAGGTGCAGGGAGTACCACAGCCCGGGCCCAGACCTCTCCACAGCCATGGAAATGTTTCATTGGAACAAATGCCATGTGGTGGATGGGAAGTTTGTTAGGAGGAGTGACTGATTTGCAAGGAGAGCTGCAGCAGCATCTGCCTTTGGCTCACATTCTGCTTCCACTCTGCTCACCCCCTGCTGAGGGACACAACACCTCTGGTTCCAGCCCTTCTTCTGCCCTGGACCAGGTGTTCCCTTTCTCTGTTCCCCTCTGGGTACTCTCAGTCCTATTCCTTTCATGATGCAAATCCCCACTTTATCAGGTCACATCCTCTTGGGAAGGGAAGGACGGATCACACTGCTCTGGACTGGGGAATGCATCCTCACTGGCCCTGTTCTGTCTGTACCTTTATGTTCCCTGAAAACATGGAACATAAAAGGGCCAGAAAATTTCCCAAGGCAAGCCCGTAACTCAGCCCCATTTTGGGCAGGTTGGCCAAGGGCTGATGTGTTTTGTTGCTTCCCAGTGACAAACCACGAGCCATGTGGGACCCAATGCCACCAGTCATAATTCATTAGCTGGCCAATAAAACCTCATTGTGATCCAATGCCTGCTGTCAGATCCAATAGTGAGCGGGAGAACAGAATGCAGCACGACGGGGGAGAGCGGGGGAGACCCGGCAGTGAGCTGGATATCCCTGATATCCCTGATATCCAGGGACAGGGCACCCCAGAGCAGGGACAGGGCACCCCAGAGCAGGGACAGGGCAC